CCCATCTGAATTTAGAGACCATCTCAGGAATAGATTTGACACATTGAATACTAATGACCAAAGACCAGACACGTTGTGGGATGATATAAAGAAAGCAGAAGATCGTTTAAAAGACAAGAAAGAAACAAGAGACCAAAATGGATGTCAGAAGATACTCTGAAACTTGCTCTTGAAAGAAGAGTAGCTAAAGCGAAAGAAAGAAATATGAAGTAAAAGAGCTGAAGAGAAGATTTCAAAGGGTGGCTCAAGAAGACAAAATAAAGTATTATAATGAAATGTGCAAAGACCTGGAGATAGAAAATCAAAAGAGAAGAACATGCTCAGCATTTCTCAAGCTGAAAGAATTGAAGAAAAATTCAACCCTTGAGTTGCAATATTGAAGAATTCTATGGGCAAATATTAAACAAACAGGAAGCATCAAAAGAAGATGGAAGGAATACACAGAGTCACTGTACCAAAAAGAATTAGTTGACATTCAACCATTTCAGGAGGTAGCATATGATCAAGAACTGATGGTAGTGAAGGAAGAAGTCCCAGCTGCACTGAAGGCATTGTCAAAAAACAAGGCTTCAGGAATTGACAAAATACCAATTGAAACATCTCAGCAAACTGACGCAGTGCTGGAAGTGCTCACTCGTCTACGCCAAGAAATTTAGAAGACAGCTACCTGGCTAACCGACTGGAAGAGATCATATTTGTGTGCATTTTAAAGAAAAGCGTCTTGGTTATCTAGTGCTGCTATAACAGAAATACCACAAGTGGATGGCTTTAACAAAGAGAAATTTATTTTCTCACAGTCTAGTAGGCTAGAAGTCCAAATTCAGGGTGTCAGCCCCAGGGGAAAGCTTTCTCTGTTTGTCAGCTCTGGAGGAGGGTCCTTGCCCTGTATCTTCCCTTGAACTAGGAGCTTCTCCACACAGGAACCCCAGGTCCAAAGGACAAGCTCTGCTCCCAGATCTGCTTTCTTGGTGGTGAGAGGTCCCCCAGAGGCGGCTCAGAAGAAAGACCTGGAGATCTACTTCCAAAAGATTAGCCGTTGACCAATGTCACAAAACAATATGTGTATTAATTGTTTAATGAGAAACTAATCTGCTCTGTAAACCTTCATCTACAGCACAACTGAAAAAAAAGATCAGCCATTGAAAACCCTTGGAGTGCAATTCTACGCTGACACACATGGGGTCGCACAAATCGGAAGCTACTCCCGGACAACTGGTTAATTTAGGACTGCAACAAATAATGTGTTTATTTCCCCACCTAGAATGTCTTGTAGAAGGAGCCCTGGTAGTGCAATGGTTAAACACTTGGCTGCTAACAAAAAGGTTAGCGGTTTGAACCCACTCAGTAGTTCCACGGGAGAAGATCTTGTGATCTGCTCCCGTAAAGACTACAGCCAGGAAAACCCTATGGGGCAGTTCTGCTCAGTCACATGGGGGCACTATGAGTTGGAATTAACTCAAGGGCACCCAGCAACAACAACACGCCTTGTAGAATGCATAAGCATGGTGTAATGGGAGACAGAAATCTCAGATTCTAACTCATCCACTCTCTAAATGCCAAACAAAAATATTAGGTATAATATTTCTTTAGATTGTTTTTATTCTGCCTACCTCATAGGGCTAGTATGTGGTTTCAAAGAGAGGTAGGTGAAGGCATCCTGAAAAGCCTAAAGCACTATGTGAGACAATATATATTTAAAATGTTATTAATAAAGGTTTCACTGTCTGCTGTGGCCTTTTTGTACATGGTTACAAGGCTGCCCTAAAGTAAGCACATTCAAGACATGTTCTACCAGAAGAGCACAGGTTAAAGGGGAAATTAATAATATAACCTGTAACTTTTGAGTGTTTTTTCCTTAGTGGCAAGGAAAATTTATATCACCACCTGCAGAGAGCAACTAATTGGTTGAAATATCCAGCATCATTCAAGATGATGCTTTAAAAACATCTTGCACTGTGTCTCTTAAGAGGCAAGGGGACGGAAAGAGAGAAAGATTCTCAAATAGGTAGCTATTATTTATATAAGAATAGTGTCTTTTGAATTTTTAAAGTTATTTTGACGTTAACTGGACTTGTATTTTATGTAAGATGCGTTTTCCACCCTGAGGCTGATCATTCCTTTTTTTTTTTTTCCTTAAATAGACAATCTAAAAAGTAGGGTGATATTACAGCTGCAGAGTGCTACAGGGCATCACTATTCATGTGTTTATGCCACAAGACTCTTCCACTTGTCATCCTTCAGGACAGTAGAATGAAGATATAGAGGATATTCCCTCATACGCGTATATATCTTTTTTTTTAAGAGTAAGTATTACTAGATTTTAAAAATCATTAAGGTGAAATAGTATCTTAGGCTAGGTTCTCTAGAGAAGCAAAACCAGTACAGTGTATATATATATAGAGAGAGATTTATATCAAGGAAATGGCTCACGAGGTTGTAGAGGCTGGAACATCCAAAGTCCACAGATCAGGATAGAGGCTTCTCCTGATTCACGTACGTACAGGGGCTGGCAAACCCAAGATTGGCAGGTCAGAGAACAGGGCTCTTGCTCACAGACTGTGAAGATCAGTGGATCCCAAGTTCGGCAGGTAAGCTGCTAGCTCAAGTCCCAAGAACCAGAGGTCAGACGAACAGGAGCCGGCTGCAGGATCAAGAGCAGGCAAAAGCCAGAATGTCTGCTTATATTTAAATGCAGGCCACTCACCCAAGGAAACTCCCTTTCAACTGATTGGCTACTCACAGCAGATCCCATCATAGGGGTGATCACAACATCATACAACTGCCAAACCACTGAGAATCATGGCCCAGCCAAGTTGACACACAACCTTAACCACCACAGTGACACAAAAGAATGCAGAAGTTATTGAACAACATCATTAATATCACACAAAAGTAAAATTTTGCTGAAGATACTTCAAAAATAGTTACAGCAGTACATCAACAGGGAACTGCCAGATTCAGAAGAGGACGTGGAACAAGGGATATCGTTGCTGATGTCAGATGGCTCCTGGCTGAAAGCAGAGACTACAAGAAAGATGTTTACCTGTGTTTTATTGACTATGCAAAGGCATTCGACTGTGTGCATCATAGAAAATTATGGGTAACATTGCAAAGAATGGGAATTTCAGGACACTTAATTGTGCTCATGTGGAACCTGTACATAGACCAAGAGGCAGCTGTGAACAGAGCAAGGGGATACTGTGTGGTTTAACATCAGGAAAGGAACTGTGGTACATACACACAATGGAATACTATCCAATGATAAAGAATAACGATGAATCCATGAAATATCTTGCAATATGGGTGAATTTGGAGAATATTATGCTCAGTGAAATAAGTCAATTACAAAAGGACAAATAATGTATGATACCACTATTATAAAATCAGGAAAGGTGTATGTCAACCTACTTATTCAATCTGTATGCTGTGCAAATAATCCGACTATATGAAGAAGAATGCGGCATCAGGATTGGAGGAAGACTCATTAACAACCTGTGATATGCAGATGACACAACCTTGCTTGCTAAAAGTGAAGAGGACTTGAAGCACTTACTGATGAAGATCAAAGACTACAGCAATCAATATGGATTACGCCTCAACATAAAGAAAAAAATCCTCACAACTGGACCAATAAGCAAATCATGATAAAAGGAGAAAATAGTGAAGTTGTCAAGGATTTCATTTTACTTGGATCCACAATCAACGCCCATGGAAGCAACAGTCAAGAAATCAAATAACGTATTGCAACAGATCTGCTGCAAAAGATCTCTTTAAGTGTTAAAAAGCAAAGATGTCAGTTTGAGGACTAAGGTATGCCTGACCCAAGCCATGGTATTTTCAACCACCTCATATGCATGCAAAAGCTGGACAATGAGTAAGGAAGACTGAAAAAGAAATGATGTCTTTGAATTATGGTGTTGGTGAAGAATACTGAATATACCATGGGCTGTCAGAAGAACAAACTTATTTATCTTGGAAGAAGTATAGCCAGAATGCTTCTTAGATGGGAGGATGGCAAGACTTTGTCTTACGTACTTTGGACATGTTATCAGGAGGGACCAGTCCCTGGAGAAGGACATGATACTTGGTAGAGGGTCAGCGAAAAATAAAAAAAGACCCTGAACGAGATGGATTGACACAGTGGCTGCAACAATGTGCTCAAACATAGCCATGATTGTGAGGATGGTGCAGGACCAGGCAGGGTTTTGTTCTGTTGTACATAGGGTTTTTATGATTTGGAAGCAACTTGACGGCACCTAACAACAACAGCAATCTTTACCAGAGCAAATCGCCAGATCTTTTCTCCTACGGAGTCACTAGTGGGCTTGAACTGCCAACCTTTTGGTTATGATTTAGGAAATAATATTGGAGTCATTATTGCCTGTCCTTGAGCACAGAGAATGTGACCCAGCTGGAGCTGGACTCACAAGGACACATCAACTGGGCCCTGAGATATAAAGACAATAGCTAGAACAATCTTGGAAAATATCTTTTAGGGAAGCTTTCACATAAACCGATCAGCCAGAACACAAAAGACTTCTTACTCTTATCTTCTTCTACTAGCATTTACTGAATAGAAAATTTGTTGGACCAAATGAAGACCCTCTTGACTCTTATTACTGAAACCTGTACCAATGACAATTAAGAAAGATGATTCAAAATGTAGAATCACGTTGATCTAGCAGTTTTTAGCCAATTGGTGAAAAGATGAAGCTTTCAATGATTTTACCTATCTGCAATGTTTATATATACTGATTTCTGTAACATTCCTTGGACTTGGGCAGACATTACCGCTGGCAGCATGCTTGTCCACTTCCCATTTTTGCCTTTTTGAATATATGTTGAATAAAACTTTCTTTTTGCTTTACTGAATTTTGTGATGTTTTTTCCCTACAATAGTTAGAAGCCAAGTGTTTAACCATCGTACCACGAGAGGTCCATATATATAATACATATTCCACATAGATTATATATATATCTGTATATAGTTTCTGACTTACCATCACTTCTGACACCATCCTGTCGTTATTCTTGGTGATTTTAATATCCACGTAGATATTGAATTGCCTGTACTCTCAGCTCCTTGATCTCTCTTATTCATTCATTCTCTTGGACAAACCTATATCAGAGATACATATTATAATGACAATAATTTGGGTATATAGGTTAAATAAAATGTTATTAAAACTATTTCACCTGTTTCATTTTACCTTTTTAAATGACTGGTAGAAAATTTAAAAATTACATGTGACTCACATTATATTTTTAATGGACAATACTGTCCTAGATCTTATTACCAATGTTAAAAATAATCTGAACTCAAAGAAATTGAAACATATTCTGTGTAGTCGTTCTATATGCTAATATAGGGAGACTGTTCTGATATTCTGATTAAAAAAAAAAAGCACATGGCTTGAAGTAGGCTGGTTACAATGAGGCTTATAAAGAGAAGAGGAGGAAGAAGGATAGAAGATCAACCATTGGCTAATCTTAACATGATTGATCCCTGCCCTCCCCCTTTTACTGAGATCAGGTGATATCTGGTCAAAGGTGGTCTCTGGCCCTCCACCCACCTGCAGCGATGATATCTTTTGAAATTTAAATTAAGTAAGCTTAGCTTTGAACACGAAAGAAAACTGGATGGAAAGCCACTGGCAGGATTTGGTCAGGAATTTTTATGGTTAATATTTGGTTTTGTGGATAAGAAAAACTCTAAAATCAAAGTAAGATGTCTTAATTTTTCTCTTTGACATCTATAATAGCATATCCTCCATAATCCTCATTTCGATCATCCTGTTCTACAAACATCATTTTTCTAGCTCACTCTCTATGGGACCCCAATTTTTCAACCCCACTAAGACCTTTGGAAACTATAGTGGCGTAGTGGTTAAGAGTTCGCCTGCTAACCAAAAGGTCAGCAGTTCAACTCCACCAGGTACTCCTTGGAAACCCTATGGGGCAGTTCTACTCTGTCCTATAGGGTTTCTATGAGTCAGAATCAACTCAATGGCAATGAGTTTTTTTTGGGTTAGGACTTTTAATCCATTGATCCTACCACCTTTCACTAAGCCTCCTCCTCTTCCCCATTCCCTCACATCCTTTCTTACGCACCTTAGACACTATGGTCAATCATTTTAATCACCCCTTGACATAAATCTTTAGCTCCCTTGCCCCTGTGCATGGGTAATGAGCTCATCAAGAATTATGGCAGGCTTCAATTGGCATAACACAGTTTATAAAGACAATGTTCTACATTCCACCTTGGTGAGTAGCATCTGGGGCCTTTAAAGCCTGTGCGCAGCCATCTAAGATACCCCACTGGTCTCACCCCTTTGGGAGCAAGGGAGAATAAAGAGAACAGGATACAAGGAAAGATTTGTCCAAAGGACTAACGGACCACAGCTACCACAGCCTCCACCAGACTGAGTCCAGTACAGCTAGATGGTGCCCAGCTACCATCACAGACTGCTCCGACTGGGATCACAGTAGAGCTGGGAAAGGATGTAGAACAAAATTCTAACTCCCAAAAATAATACCAGATTTGCCTGCCTGACAGGCTGGAGAAACCCCGGGAGTATGTCCCCCGGACACCCTTTTAGGTCAGTGGTGAAGCCACTCCCGAAGTTCACCGTTCAGCCAGGGATTGGGATTGGACAGCCTCATAAAACAAAACAGGACTAATGAGGCACAGCAGTCCAGGGACAAAGACGAGAGGGCAGGAGGGGACAGGAAAGCTGATGATAGGGAACCCAAGGTTGAGAAGGGAAAGTGTTGACATGTCGTAGGGTTGTCCATCATTGTCATAGGGCAATATGTGTACTGAATGTTTAATGAGAAACTATTTGTCCTGCAAACCTTCTTCTAAGGTACCCAAAAAAAAAAAAAATCGTCTATGTGAGATCAAATTGGCAACAGCAACTCAAAGGGTTTGATCGGAAGCCTAGGAGGCAGTAAGTTGAAGATAATGGTGACGGAATAATTTGGAAAAGGATAGTGAGAATAGCAGCACAACTGGAAGAATGTGATTGATGTCACTGAATTGTACATTTAAAAACTTTTGAAATGATGTAACTTTGGCTATGTATATTTTCACCAAAAAAAAAGTCCTCCAAGGTCGAGAAGGGAGAGTGTTGACATGTCGTGGGGTTGTTAACCAATGTCATAAAACAATATGTGTACTGACTGTTTAATGAGAAACTATTTGTTCTGTAAACCTTCATCTAAAGTACAATAAAATAAAAATAAACAAACATGCCTAAGATGAAGAAGAAAAAAAAGAATTATGGCAGGCTAGTGTTCGAAACTGTTATGAGTCAGGAGTTCAAAATCTACATTATAATGTATTGCTACAGAATCTAGTACTCTGCTGTGATTACATTTTCTTCCCTGTATAGTCTTTTAAACTTATTTTCCCTGTTGTTCCTTGACTACCTGCATCACATCTTTAAGTTCTCAAAAATACTTGTTCTCCACCTTCTTCGTGACTGTAGCAAAGCAGACAGTAGCTAGAAGAAAACACATCGCCAGTTTTACACTGAATTCTTTACCTCTAAAAGACCCGGCAATCTGCTCCTGTGAAGATTACAGACTGGGAAACCTATAGGACTGTTCTACTCTGTCCTGTAGGGTTGCTATAAGTTGGAATCGACTTGATGGAACACAACAACTTCAAGTGGGCCATCAGTGCTGCCCCACCATCATATCATCATTTGCTCTCCTCTTCTACACAAGTGCTCTACAAACTACAGTTGCCTTCCAAGAAGAAAATAATTTCAGGGAACCAGCTTCCAGAAATAGACATCCTTTGCTAAAATTTATCTGCTTAAGAATGGACCTGTATTCACAAATTTCCTTCTCTCACTTTACAAAAGAAAGGCATGCTCCTCACCCTTCCCAAATCTCAGAAGTGGCCTCCAGGGTGTAAATACCTTTTGTGCCAAGCAAAGGGGCAGTTTCCCTTCTTGATTAATTCAGAAAAAAATAGTTGCTGTTGAGTCAATTCTGACTCATGGCAACCCTATGTGTGTCAGAGTAGAACTGTGCTCCATAGGGTCTTCAATGGTTGATTTTTCAGAAGTATATCACCAGGCCTTTTTCCGAGGTACCTCTGTGTGAACACAACCTCCAAACTTTTAATTAGTAGTTGAGCACTTAATTGTTTGCATCACCCAGGGACTCCTCTTGGTTGATCAAGACACCATACACATTTTAGATTTCCTATTTCTCTGCTTTAAATACATTTCAGTTCAAGTGGAAGCTGGCACTAGAAACAGGGTATTTTGATCCCATTTTTCAGTTCTGATATATCATAATAGAGTCAGGTGATAGAATTGATGAAAATTTTTGTTCAAAGACCGTGCCTCCTCCTTCCCGATTATCACCAAGAAGGCAGCATTCTTGGGGGAGAGCCCAGGAGAACAAAAAGAAGACTGGTGAGAAAAATAGCTTTAAAATGTATTTAAACTCTAGCAAATCTTTTTAGCTATTCTCAGTACTCATCCTCAGGACCATGTCATTAGCTAGAAAGAGAAAAAATTTTGAACAGCCAAGCAGTATAAGTTAATAACAATGATTCTGGAATGATTTCTGGGACTACCAATTGTTAAAAGATACAGATAAAAGTTTTATGTGATTTCTTACAGATTGTACATTATTAAATAATGTAGTTAGTATCTATTTTATTAAATCATATCATGAACTATTCCTTTCCATTATAGTCATCCTTGTCTTGTAAGATGTAAAATACTATCTCCCTCCTATTTTAAAAAAATGGTTACTAGTTTCAAATTTTTTTTTTAGCTTGCTATACATTTCTATTCCATTAAATAAACAGAAAAATGTGGTTATCATATCTAATGAAATTAGTGGAGTTATTTTGGATTTTTATTTTAGATGTTTATTAAATTATTTTCAAAAGTAGAATACTAGACATCAATATATGCATGCAAATAAATGCTACTATTTAAACAAACGAGAATAGGACTAATAAACAATGACAATTAGAAGTAATTAAGAGTAGGACTTAATTAAACAAATAATACCTGTGAGAAAACTGTAATGATATTTTTATAATTTTCTTCCTGTCCTCTGATATAGCAATTTATTTTATCTCTTTTCTTAACTCTATATTGGATATTTAACTTTTGTTTGCTATATTATTATATATTCTGAAGACACATAAATGTAAGATTTAAAAAAGGAGAATGTAAATACAATAGTACTAATTAAACAGGTATTGCATATATTTAATAATAACGACAGCATGTGTTTTTCTTTCCTAGGATACTCTCTTAGTCTTCTAGTGCTGCTATAACAGAAATACCACAAGTGGATGGCCTTAACAAAGAGAAATTTGTTCTCTCACAGTCCAGTAGGCTACAAGTCCAAATTCAAGGCATCAGCTCTATAGGAAGGCTTTCTCTCTCTGTCGGCTCTGGAGGAAGGTCCTTGTGATATATCAGTCTTCCCTTGGTCTGGGAGCATCTCAGCACAGGAACCTCAGGCCCAAAGGACACCCTCTGCTCCCAGCACTGCACTCTTGGTGGTTCGAGGTTTCCCTGTGCCTCTGCTCGCTTCTGTCTTTCGTATCTCAAAAGAGATTGGCTTAAGACACTATCCAATCTTGTATACCTCATCACTATAATTGCCGCTAATCCATATTATTACATCATCCTGTAGAGTTTACAGCACATAAGGAAATCACATCAGATTACAAACTGGTACACAATCATACAGTACTGGGAATCATGGACCCAGCCAAGCTGACAGATATTTTTGGGGGACACAATTCAATCCATGACAGATACCGTAGGATATTTTTACTCTTTCTGTTTCCTTTTCCAACAATACTTCTGTAAATTGCCTGCAGCCTCTAGGATGTCTTTTTTCTTTTATGTAGTGGTAAAACTGAATACAGTCAAATGTAAAATTCACTTGGACTTGCAGCTCTGTATTATCCAGTCTGCATTATACTGATTTCTGGTTTCAGTCCAATGTGATTACATTAAGCTTCAGAGCC